AACGAAATGCTTCACAAGATAAAAAAAAGAAATCTATCAACAAAGCCTCCAGGAGTGATCAGGATCATAATGAATCATTCAAAGAATCCACAAAGATCAATGTCTTCAAGGAGGAGCTGGGCAATGAATTGCGAAACTCGTTTGTCAATGACCTAAAGGAGCTGGGCAATGAATTACGAAACTCGGTTGTTAATGTTTCAAAAGAGGCGCTAAGCCATCTCAATGACTCGAAAAAGGAGCTGTGCAATGAAATACGAAACTCGTTGAGGGAATTTAAGGAAGATTTGGTTGCAAGGGAGATGAAAAAAACACGAGACTCGTTAAGGGAGTTTAAGGAAGATTTGAAGAAAGAAATAAGAGAGGAAGTTGCAAGAGAATTGAAAGAAGAAATACGAAACTCGTTAAGGGAATTTAAGGAAAGTTTGAAGAAAGAAGCAAGAGAGGAAGTTGCAAGAAAATTGAATGATAGTGATAATGAAAAGAATAACGAGAATGTCGGTGGTAATTAATGATAATGATAATGAAAAAAATAATGGTATTGATGATAAAAAAATAATAATATTGATAATGAAAAAAATAAAAATAGTAATAATGAAATGAATATTGATAGTGATCACGAAAAGAACATTGATAGTGGTCACGAAAAGAACATTGATAGTGATCACGAAAAGAACATTGATAGTGATCACGAAAAGAATAGTGATAGTGATAGTGAAACGAACAGTGATAGTGATAGCGAAACGAACAGTGATAGTAAAATGAATAGTGATAGTGATAGTGAAACGAACAGTGATAGTGATAATGAAACGAATAGTGATAGTAATAGTGATAGTGAAACGAATAGTGATAGTGAAATAAATAGTGATAGTAATAGTGATAGTGAAACGAATAGTGATAGTGATAGTGATAGTGAAATGAACAGTGATAGTAAAATAAATAGTGATAGTGATAGTAAAATGAACAGTGATAGTGAAACAAATAGTGATAGTGATAGTGATAATGAAATGAACAGTGATAGTAATAGTGATAGTGAAACGAATAGTGATAGTAAAACAAATAGTGATAGTGATAGTGATAGTGAAATGAATAGTGATAGTGAAATAAATAGTGATAGTGATAGTGATAGTGAAACAAATAGTAATAGTGAAATAAATAGTGATAGTGATAGTGATAGTAATAGTGAAATGAATAATGATAGTGATAGTGATAGTAAAATGAATAGTGATAGTGATAATAAAATGAATAGTGATAGTGATAGTGATAGTGAAACGAATAGTGATAGTGAAATAAATAGTGATAGTGATAGTAATAGTGAAACAAATAGTGATAGTAAAATAAATAGTGATAGTGATAATGATAGTAAAATGAACAGTGATAGTAAAATAAATAGTGATAGTGATAATGATAGTAAAATGAACAGTGATAGTGAAACGAATAATGATAGTGATAGTAATAGTGAAATGAACAGTAATAGTAAAATAAATAGTGATAGTGATAGTAAAATGAATAGTGATAGTGATAGTGATAGTAAAATAAATAGTGATAGTGATAATGAAATGAATAGTGATAGTGATAATGATAGTGAAATAAATAGTGATAGTGATAGTGAAACAAATAGTGATAGTGATAGTAATAGTGAAACAAATAGTGATAGTGAAATAAATAGTAATAGTAATAGTGATAGTGAAATGAACAGTGATAGTGAAATGAATAGTAATAGAGATAGTGATAGTGAAATGAATAGTAATAGTAAAATAAATAGTGATAGTAATAATGAAATGAATAGTGATAGTGATAGTGATAGTAAAATGAATAGTGATAGTGATAATGAAATGAATAATGATAGTGATAGTGATAGTGAAACAAATAGTGATAATGATAATGATAATAAAACAAATAGTGATAGTGAAATAAATAGTGATAGTGATAGTGAAATGAACAGTGATAGTGAAACAAATAGTGATAGTGATAGTGATAATAAAATGAATAGTAATAGTGAAATGAATAGTGATAGTGATAGTGATAGTGAAACAAATAGTAATAGTAAAACAAACAGTGATAGTAATAGTGAAATGAATAGTGATAGTAATAGTGAAACAAATAGTAATAGTGAAATAAATAGTGATAGTAAAATAAATAGTGATAGTGAAATGAACAGTAATAGTGAAACAAATAGTGATAGTGATAATGATAGTGAAATGAATAGTGATAGTAAAATGAATAGTGATAGTAATAGTGATAGTGAAACAAATAGTGATAGTAATAGTGAAATGAATAGTGATAGTGAAATGAATAATGATAGTAATAGTAATAGTAAAATGAACAGTGATAGTGAAATGAATAGTGATAGTAATAGTAATAATGAAATGAATAGTGATAGTGATAGTGATAATGAAATGAACAGTAATAATGATAGTAAAATGAACAGAAATGAATAATGATGACAATAATACAGAGGAATCAGACTCATCATTCTCAGTAAGTTTTAATAATGAATTTTGAATCTTCTATAAAGTGGTATTCATAATGATTGATATCTTAAAGTTACATATGCTCAAAGAAAGTGAAAATTGCTACTAAGCTGTTCAAAAGAATTAAACTATCACTACTGATATTTAAGGATATCCCTGTAATGATTAAAGAGAGTAATTGATAATGGGAGGAAAAATAGAGAAAGTAATAAAAAAGAGGTTGAGAGAGAAAAAGAAAAGTCATGAGAATTTCAGAATGATAGTGAAAATATTAAATAAGTATAAATATATGATGGAGAGTAGTTCAAGTTCTTCATCAGAATAAAATTTTTTATTTTCATTTCTGTTTAACATCACAGAATTATTATTTTTTACACATATAAAGGAAGATCAGAGAAAGCATTTATTCATAAAATTTATTGAATAAACTAATTTTCGATCTATTATATTAATATGAAAAAATCTTTGTAAATATAAAATTATTTTAAAAACTATTATTTTTAAATTAAGATGCAATAGTATATTATAAATCTAATGGGTTACAAGAAAAATTCACTGGATAATATAATAAAGTTTTTAATTTTATCAATTATAATTGATTAGTTATACTGTTAATACTCTTTAATAATATTAATTATTACTTTATTATGATCTTTATAAATATATTTAAATAAATATTTGATTTTTTTGATATTAATGCAAATTTCTATATTAATATAACAATTCGATTTTATACAAAAAAATTTATTATATGAAATGATTCATTAATTATCCAATAGAACTATTTGACTTTCTTTTCTTATTTTAACATAAAGATCATTCTATCTGTGATGATATAGAATAAAAGTTTTCTTTTTAAAGAGTTTTATCCTGAAATTGCTTAAGATATATTATTTTGTAAAGTTATCACAGATATTTTTATAATGCATATTTTACTTTTACTTATAAAATTATGCATGATAAATAATAAGAAAAGATATTCTTTATATATTAAAAATAATAATCTTGTTAAATATTCTATAATATTTAAATAAATATATAATTAAATTTGAATTGGAAGATACTCATATAATTTTACAAGTAATAATATTATTTACTTAAAAGAACTAAATAATTTAATTATATTTTAAAAGTATTTAAAATATTATATACATAGGGAAACTTGATAAGTCAGTCTCTCGATAAGTTAGTTTTGATCTAAGTCAGCCAAATATTTTCAGCTCTTTTTTTCAGTATTTAAAAAATCTTGATAAGTCAGTTGACATATGTAAAATCACAATAAGCTATAAGTCAGTCAACTTCCTTCCATATTATATATAAATTACTCTTGATAAGTCAGTCTCACGTGATATTTGGGAGTATTATTACTATTTTAGTCAATAGATCATTTATACCACTGATTACTCGCTAATTATATTAAGTATATTATTATTATTTTTTTGTACTGCAAATAAGTCTTGACTTATTTAATATCTTGGCGTGTTCACATTACATATAAAAATATTAACTTACATAAATTCTGAATTGTAAGTAACAAATAAAAATAAACTTATAACTGTGATAATTATGAATACCAAACAATTGTCTAGCAAAGATGGAAGTAAAGTAGGAAGAAAATTAAACATACTAACTAATATTAAAAAAAAAGAGTTATATGAATTCAAGATCACTAATCCAACCAAAACGAATAAAAAAATTAGCAAAAAATTCAGAATTGGTAAATCGACAGTTGGAGATATTCTTAAAGAGAAGGCAAAATGGCTTGCGATCAGCTTAAATGCAACTCCAGTTAAAAGAGATCACGAAAGTAAATGATCATAATTGGAAAATACATTAGTAATCTGGATAGATCATGCTAATCAATCAAATTATATGATAATGGATACTATTTTTTGCCAAAAGGCAAAAGATTACATCAGGAGACTTAATCTTGATGGATTTTCAGCATCACCAGAAAGTATTAAATTATTACCGAATAAGAAATAAACTATAATTGCATAATAATAATATTATTTGATTATCATTTATTTAATAGAGGTGGTTATCAAACTTTAAGAAGTGAAAACAAATAAAGAAACACTATAAGTCAGGTGAGGCAGCAAGTACACCTCTCAATAAATTATCAAGAGCTAAAGTCGCTAATTGCACAATATGATTTAAATGACATTTATAATACAGATGAAACTGATCTTTACTGAAAATTAGAACCTAATAAATCTCTTTTCAGTGGTTCTCTAACTGGTATAAAAAAGCCTAAAGACAGAGTTACGGTAATGCTTGTGTGTAATATAACTGGCACTCATAAATTGCCAGCTATTTTCATTCATCAATATAAAAATTCAAAGTGTATTTATAACGTTAATAAAAGCATATTACTAGTATAGTATTATTGGAATAATGTATCTTGGATGCAATAATCGATATTCTAATCATGAATTAAATATGTTAACAAATTAATACGAAAACAATAAAGAAATATTTTGCTATTAGTGGACAATATTTCTTCTCATGTATTAGAAGATGATAAAGTATTAAGTAACATCAGATTGTATTTTCTCCCACCCAATACTATTGCTCACCTTCAATCAATAGATCAGGAGATTATTCATTCCTTTAAGTCTAATTACAGAAAGTATTTGTGCAGAAATAGAATAAATGCATTTGATCAATTTCAGGAATATGGAATCGAGATTCCTACTTTAAATATCTTAAATGTAATTGATTGGGTTGCAGAATCGTGGAAGAATGTGACCGAAGATGTAATATACAGATGCTGGAAATGAACTGATATTCTACCTGATGAGTTGAAAGATATTATTAATAAGCTACTGGATAATAAAATTGAGATAGAAGATAAAATCGTTCAGTTACTTATTGATCAAATGATCATTGATAATGCTGTTATAAGAGCAGAAGATTATATTGATATTAATAATATTTTGGTAATAAGCGATATGTTCAATGATGATGAAATTATTGCAGCCGTTCAAGAGATATTTGAGAATGAAGGAGAAGATGAAGATGAGAATGAGATATTGATGATATCTAACAAAGTCACCTTAGAAAGCATTCAAAATTTATATGATTACTTGTGATAGAATAGTGATATAAAAGTAGATAGTTCATTCATTTCAGGATTAAGAGACTTAAAATGAAAAATTGATAAAAAGAGAATAACTTCTTCAACACAAACTAGCATGGATATTTATTTGAAATAATTTATGTTTATTCTATATTATGATATATTATTATTATAATGATAAATAAAATTTGACATATTGGTCACGTAGTTCTTGATAAGTCAGTCCTCTCAATAAGTTAGTTCTCTCGATAAGTCAGTCTACCATGCCCAGCCATGCATGGCTGACTTATCAAGTTTCCCTATATATATACAATATTTTTAATTTTTATTATCTTTTGATTTTATTATTATTATTTTACTTTATATATAATTATATTTACAAAAAAATTTATTATTATTTATATTAAAAAAATATAAATACTTAATATTTTCATTAAATATATTAATTATAATAATTATAATTAATAATAAAAGTAATTTAAAAATATATATAACAAAAAAATTTTAGATAATACAAAGTAGTAAATATAATTTATATATTCTAATTAAATTAGTAAATTATAATTTCAATTTTTTTTTAATATTTAATATCATATAATAAATTATATATAAAACTAAATTACATATATAAAAATTAAAAATGCAAGAAATATTAAAAGATTTTGAATTAAAGACACTCTATAAATTATTTATATTATATTTTTAAATTATATAATAACTATTTCACATATTTTAATAATAAATATAATTTTATATAAAAAAAATTAAATTATAATACAAATAACTTAGTTATATTAAATATTATTTTACTATTAAATTTTTAAAGAATTATTATTTTTAAATAAAATATTAAAATTAAATTATTATTTTCAAATAAGATATTATATGTTATACTAAATTTAATTTATACATACTAAAATAAATTTTATATAAAAAATAATAATATAATTTTATATATTAAAATATAGCTAATTAAAAATAATATATATATATTAAAAATTTAATTATTACTATTAAAATTAATATTAATTGCAAAATATTTTTTATAAAATAATAAATAAAATAAATATATAATATTATAAAATATATTAAAGACTATTTAATAATATATTTATTTTAATATTTATATATATGAAATAAAATTCTTTTTTAATTTAAAATATTAATTAAATATTTAATATCTTTAAACTATTTATATTATTATTAATTTTATTTATATTTGATTTAGTATATATATAAAAGATTAATTTTTATTAAAATTTAATTTTATTTTATATTTTTCTTTATTTTTATTATTTTATTTTCATCTTAAAATATTATTATTATAAATATTATAATATAAATATTGATTTTTTATTATTTTAGTAATATTAAGATTATTATATTTAAAATAAATATTTAAAAAAATATTAGCTAAGTCAAAATTGGTATTTGACTATGATCAAGAATTTTTTTGACTATTAATTATAATTTGATTATTAGTCAAAATTAATAATAATCAAAATTCTATTAATATTTGATTATAATTATTAACTATTTTGACTATTTTAGTCATATTAATTATAATTAAAATTTAAATATATTAAAAATTCTATTTATTTATATATAATAATATTTAAAGTAGTATAAATATTATAAATATATAAAATTCAGTATATACAGTACTTATCATAAATAATGAGAATTTAATTTGACATGAACTATATATATAAATTTTTTAATTGTATACTCCCAATAACATCAGCTTTTAATAATAGTTTGTTTATATATGTAACTTAAAAACAAGCTATAAAAAAATTCTTCCCTATTTAGTCTTCATCACTTTTTTTTACTGTGAAATAGACAAGATCTCTCTTACTAACTGATAAAAAATCATAAGTGAGCTTTGGAGTCATGTCATTCATGATATCTCAATTCTGGCAAAATTAAGTGATATCATAATTTGTCATTTAGAATACCCCCCTATAACATCATACCCCTCATGAATTATACCAGATCTAATTCATAGATATTAATATTAATAAAATATATTATATCTGGATATATTATAAATTTATATTTTCCTAACAATATATCCGGATATATTATTTTATATTAATAATATACTCAAGTCTAATCCCATATATTTATAAAATCTATTATTTTAATATCATAATACTCATCTTTAAAACTATCAATTGGATGATTTTGTGATATTATATTATTATCTTCAATTATTTCAACAAAATCATCCAAATTATCTTGAGTTAAATTAATATTTGAATTAATATCTTCATTTTCCAAATTGTTTTTCAAACTATCTTCATTTTCTGAATTATTATCTTCATTTTCAATTATAGAATTTTAATTAAATCTTTGAGATTGTTCAACCTAATCATAATTAAAAATATGATTATCTTCAGTTTTATCATGGATATTAGAGATATTATAACATTTGAATAAGTACTTAATAAGATAAGTATCAACTTAATTCCATGTAATTTTTATCCATTCAGTAATAATACTATAACTTAGATATTATATACAGCTAGAAGATGTTAATTTTTTTATTTTTTCTGCCATCTAATTATTATATAATTGGCAATACTATAATAAATAAATATATAAGTTAATATATCAAATAAATAATACAAAAATATCTAATCTTATCTTTGATTTAAATAATTTGTTTATATATATATCTAATAGTTAAAGTTTGCTGATCAAGCCATCTGGAATTACAGCCATGTTTGTATTTTTTTCATTGAGTTAATTTTTGATAGGATCAGTTAAATGATCATGAAAAGAATCCAAGATCAATAAGGAATGTAGATTGTTCAATAATGATATATGTTAACTCCATACATTTTTGATCTACCAAATCATTTTATTACTATTCATATACTCTTCTTGATTGATATGAATTATTACTCTGGCTAGAAACTTTTGATGTGGAATATTGACCAATTTAAAAATCAATACTGGAGGTAACTTTTTGCCATCAGCCATATATACTAATATAACAGTAAAATTAGATTTTTCATGTCCTGTTATCCAAATGCTAATAGTACTTGTACCAGTTTCTTCAATAATTGTATTATTAAGAATATCAAAGGTAAGTGGTATTTCATCCATATTTCTAATTAATATCAAGGAATAATTATATTGAATACACTGATATAATACAAAACTTAAAAACTGATGTTGTATTGACTCTAACTCACTTGGTAATTTTTGTGAAACTATAGTATGACACTGAATACTGAGATAGTAGTAGTTTATAAATCCATCCAATCACTCATTACTTTATTTACAATCACCAATATTTGGATAAATTACAAGAAAGCATGGTCTTTCTGCCAAAGATTTTGTCTTAGAACAAACTATAAAACATAATATAAACTTTTGTTCTCAGTGTAAGAATCTCACTCAAATAACAAGATCATTCTCTAATGCTGGATATTGGGATCTCATACCAGAAGTAAGTTATTTTATTTGAGTTCTTGAATACTTTAATTCTTTACATTTATATATCCAGTCTTGGATTTATTTAGGTTGAATATCAAATTTTTTTGCTATATTACATTTGCTAGTACCAGATTTATTATCAAGATAAGTAAGTATGGCCAATTTTTCATATATACTCCAACTATATTTTTTAGTTTTAGTATTTGTCATGTTTTTGATATAATATATTATTTTTCTATTATATTTTTGATTAGACTAGTAATTAAAAACTTAATTTTAATTTAATATAAAGAATACTTTATTAATATTATAAACTGAAAAATTATTACGCATTTAGAAAAAGAGAAAATTATTATGTGTTTAGAAAAAGAGAAAATTAAAGAAGTTTACACATTTGGAAAAAAGGAAAAATTAATTAGCATATTTGTATATTGCACCCACTATAAATTATATTCTCTCAATATCATATCTCTCAAATACAAACCCTCTACTTTAGTATATTCATTGCTAGATAATATACTCTTCTGAATACAAATCAAATTTCAGCCCATGAAATGAAATATATCTGGAGTATTCTAAATAGTAAACTACAGTATCTCTCTTTCTACAATATATAAGTATATTACTTGACTAAAAAAAATTATAAACTTGAATTTATTTTGCATCCTGGATATTTAACAATTTTAATTTCCTCAAATCATTACATGTTAGAAAGAATTATTCAAAATAATTAATATCTTATCTATAGAGAAATTACTACTAAGCTTAATAGTATAGTCAAAATATTAGTATAAATAGTAAACCGTGAACTTAATAGGCTTGATTATTACTTAAATCACTTCAAAATAGTATCTTTACTTACCAAGAAATAATGTAAATACTATATGAAATAGATAACTGCTTATATCAAAAAATTTTTTGAGATGATTTGTATTAATTTTTATCATTAGTTAGATATTGATATATATCAGAATTATTGATACATATCGAAATAGATATTTGATATATATCGATATATATTGGAGTCATCAATGTATATTATTTAATGAAGTATATCATTAAATATTATTGTTTAATGAAGTATATCATTAAATATCATTGTTTTATGATATATATTATTAAATATTATTATTTTATAATGTATATCATTAAATATTATTATTTTATGATATATGTAACAATTTTGATTGGGTTATCTTTCTTTAGATCTCTTTTAGTTTAGATCTTCATTTTGCGCTATCTGTATAACAGATTAG